ATTCAAGAAATACCTGTAAGTTTAATTGAGACCTTACCTGGACAGAGAGAGCTTTGCTGCAGTTACCCATTCTCTGGTAACCTGTCATTTGGATGAGTTCAATGTGTAAGTGAGGCTGCCTTTGAAAATGGTCTGGAAACTCCAACTAATCCAAAACAGGGCAGCAAGACTGTTGATGGGAACTGGTTCACGAGAACCACATTATGCTGGTCCTCTTCCAGCTGTACTGGCTGCTGGGTGAAGTCCAGGCCTGATTTAAAGCACTTGTACTAACATTCAAAGCCCTAAATGGCTTGGGGCCAGGTTATCCCAAGGATTGCCCCCTCCCGCATGTACTTATTCAGACCCTGGGGTAATCTTCTGGGGTCCTTCTCCAGGATCCCCTTCCAAAGGAAGTGAGGCAGGTGGCTACCAGGAGGAGGGCCTTTTCAGTCATGGCACCCCGACTGAATGAGCCTGGTGCCTACTTTCTATTCTTTTTGGCACCAGGTAAAGCCCTTTTTATTTTCTCAGCATTTTAACAGCCTAACTTTTAAACTTTGTTTTTATCTATTTCATTTTATTCTGTATTGTTTTTATGATGAATAATAGCAATAGCAAATAGTTTTGTTCTTCTAAATTAATTTCTCAGTGAGTGGCTTTTAAACATTTATTTTTAATTTTTGTTAACTGTCCAGAGAACAATGGCTATTAGGCAGCATACAATGAAATAAATAAATAAATGTGTGATAGGTTTTGCTGTAGATATCTGTTTTATGAAAGGGTTTGTAATGAGAGTATTAGCTCCTGTGGGCATAAACAAACAAGGATACTGTTTGTGGGGAGCCCTTAAAGCACAACTTACAAATCTGGATATCATGAGAAACTGATGCAGGAAATCTATATGGTGGCCAGGACTAGGTTTTGCCCTAGAATGACATAGTTGGTATGTCATGGCCAATTCCTGGATTGTTTAACCCAGCAAATGGTGGGGTGTGTGGGAGTAAAAGATGCCTCCCATCTTTTTTCACTGTCAATTAGCAATGCAGGAATATTGCAAAGTATTATTGGGCCTCAGGATACTTATACTAGTTACACCAAGTGCCTAAATTACTTACTACATATTTTTAAAATATATGTGTGTGGGTTGTTCATCCAGATTGTGATAAAGTAGTATAAATAAAATCTGTTAAATGTTCTCCCCATGCCTTTTGGGTCTTTAAACAGCTAAACTGTTTTTCTGGAACATTTTTATCAGAGGTTTATTATGCAGTAAGTAGAAAGAGCCAGGTAACCCATGAAGCAAGAGGCTTTGGCAGCAGCAGAGAAAAAAAAAATAAAGAAGTACCTCTGCCACACCCAGAAGTGTATCCATTAACTGAGGGTATTGAGGGTACCTTAGGTGATTCCCTAAAATCTTTGAACTTTTTCTGCTGCATCAAACTCTTTCTTATCCATGAACGTGGGGAATTCAGATTGCTGAAATGAGAGCCATTTTCATTTGGGGCATCAGCTGAATGATTTCCTTCCTTGATTTTCCTGTGATATTTTCTTAGTATCCTTGTAGTTTTCTGCTCTGCCAAAATGCTAAATCCCCTGGACACATCCATCTTTGCTGAGGATTGTTCTTTAAGGTGCATTTGGTGTTCTGACCAGGCAAAGTTTCCCTCTGCAATGTTGCTCTTGACAGTGAACTCCATGTTTCTTTTCCTGCCTCTCTGTAAATGTCAGAGCTAAGGATCCGAAGTGCTGTAGTCTGAATAAGAACAGGCAAAGATCTGGTGAAAAATGATCCAATATAAAATCTGTTTATTGCTCGCCATAGAAATTGCCCTTAGTTTTGACCTTTTTCTGCTGAAATGTCAGAATAAACAATATGAATGCCTTCCCACTATTGCAGGCTGGTAGGTGGGCAGCAAGGTCCCTCTCTAAAAGGCAGGGATGGAGGTGAAAGCATTAAAATCAGCAAGCCTCTATTACGTGAGCAGCTGAAATTTATCACTGCTCCAGCTCTGTGGGTAGCTTGAATTCCTTCAGTTTAACATCATTTTAGTGCAAAAGGATGATCAGTTTCTCTGAACCCTTTTTCCATACTTCCTTCTTACTGTGTCAGCTGCTTGTTCTTGTATCCTACCAACTTTTTAATTGCCCTTTTTCTTCTTTCCATTTTTAGGTGGCCAAAGGTGTGCAGAAGGGGTCATTATATAGACCCACCTGTTTTTTGAAATAAAACCAATAAAATAATAATAGCAGTAAAATGGAGTGGTAGGTGGAGAGATGGGGTTTAAAAAGGAGCTGGAACAGCAGCCATAGTTTTGTAGAAAAGCTTTACATTTGGAGCTATGGTAGCCTGAGTTTTTAAAGAAGGGAATTGATTTTTGCAGCAACACCCCCTTTGCAAATAATACAAAAGTATTGCAGCCGTGTGGAAGATGGGAATGGGTATTACTTTAATGCCAGTGGGTTGTGTCCAATGTTAGTTCTACTTGGGGAAGGCTCACTGAATGGAGTAGGAATGGTTGGTCATGACTAGCTTAGGTAGTCTAATTTAAGTCGGACTGACATTGGATTCAATCCAGGGGGTGTATGGACCTGCAGAATGCACAACCCCCTCAACACGACATGCTGGGACTGTCTGTCGGGAAAGTCTCAAGCTGGCGCACGTGAGCTGTCATCAGGCAAATCACTGCTCTCCACTGGAAGTTGGGCAGCCTCATTGAAATGAACTTGTGACCTCAGCTCGCTCACTCTATTAGAAAAGTGTCTGAAGCCAATAAATCTGGGGAAAATAATCCATAAAGAAGCCACAGAGGTTGGAGGCTGGGTAGGCAGCTGTTCTGGTTCAGGTGTTTCATTCACTAGCCTGTTTCTGAAGGCAGCCATCAGCATAGGTGGATTTCCCCCTGCAGCACTGCTGGGGTGTTTAGTGGGGGGGGGGGCTAGTAAATAGCAGCAAGGTCGTTCCCTGTGCTGAGTAATGGAAGGCTAGCCCGCTCATGCCTGCCGATACTTGGATGGCCACAGCATGGATTCGCAGGTGTGAATGAGCCCTCATTGAGCAACCACCACAAGCCACCGTGTGTCGTCTGAACTCTGTCAGTATAAGGCAGCTTCTTCTTGTAAGTGAAGAAGGGCTGTAGCTCAGTGGCAAAGCACATGCTTCTCCCGTAAAAGGTTCCAGGTTCAGTTCCTGTCTTGTGAGAAGAGCCCCACTGAGTCACGTTGGTGGACTCTAGTTGACACTGCCGAGCAGTGGCCCTCCAGGCTTTCAGGCGGGAGCTGCTGGGGATTGAAGGTGGGACCTCCTTGAGGCCAAGCATGTGCTCTGCCAAGGAGGTATGGCCAGTGGGCCCCTTCCCCAGCTCTCTGTGCTGCTCTCTTCTTTCTCCCCTTCTCCTTTGCTGTGCAAACTCATCACCACCTCCTTGGCCTGATTGTAAGGTGGCAGTGAGGAGGTGGCAAAGAGAAGGGAAGGAGAGAGTCAAGGGAAGGTATGTAGTATGCTGGGGAAATTGTCCAAGAGTGGTGTGGTGAAGAGGGGCAATGTGCTCTACAGTTCTGGGGTGCAGGGTAAGGCAGTTGGCTGACGATCTTACTAGTGGTGGCAGCAGCTGAACAGACCCTTGCAGGAGGGGGGAGGGGGAGGAGGAGGAATGGAGGGACAGAAGAAGCTGCTTGATAGTGGGCCAGACCCTTGGTCCATCTTGCCCAGTATTGTTGATCGAGACAGGCAGAGGCTCTTCATGGTGTCTGGTAGGGGTCTTTACTAGCCCACCTAGAGATGCTGGGCATTGAACCTGCATGCAGAACTGGGGCTCCACCACTGAGCCGCAGCTCCTCTTAAAAAACAAGCCAGTGCACATCGCTCTTTCATGTACAGCGAAGATGGCAGCGAAGGAGCATAAGCAGAGTGTTTTTCTCTTCCTTCCTGTTCTGGAAGATGGGAACATGGCATGTTACGGAAGCACTGCAACTGCAGTCTTTTTGTCAGTATTGAATGGGGGAACACATCAGATCATAAATACACCCAAGTTATATAATCAGAAAGGAAAATAGGAAGAAGGGAAGGGGGTTAACCACAGAAGGCAATACCTTTAAGATGTTATTCTACATTCCAGATAGTCTCACCATTTATTCAGAATGAACATGCTGTTCTGTGTTAATTTAGGTATTTAGTAGTTAGGGTAGCTCCCAGACCGAAGATTGATCCCTCCCTCCCTCTCCCCCCACCCCCGTGTGCGTGTGCCTGTTTGGCAAAAGTGTGCCCTGCTTGCAAAACAGCCTGTTACATTAAAATCCTAGGATTAGGCAACAGAGGTGTTACTTTGTGTATGACTCAAGCCAGTGAGCAACAGCACAGGCCCTGGCTGGCACTTTCAAGCCACTTTGGATAGTGAGTACCCAAACTTCAATGCCACACAGCAGGCAATGGATGTTCCTTCTGATGATATGATGCACATAGCTGTGAAGGGCACATAGGAAATGGTGCTCTTCTCCTGCAGACAGTGTGATTATTGGTGAGCTGGAATCTGCCCCTTGCTTTTTCTGTACATCATTTTTTGGCAACTGTAACATTTATGGACTAGGTAGGCCAGCAGTGAAGACCAGTTGCATGCAGGAATCCGTTCTAGGACAAGGACTATGTCGTGCAGAGATGGAAGCTTGCAATGATTGATGGAAAGACTCCGTTGTGCCTAGCTTGATACAAGCCTCCTGTTGTCTTTTGCCAATCAATTGAATTTCCCAATTGTTTATACAAGTTTAATTAAGTCTGATAGATCTTGGATCAGGCAGTTTCTCTCACAGATAATTATTTGTTTAAGGACATAAGAGTATTAAGGTAAAATTGGGAGGAAAATGGGAGGAAAAACCCCAGTGACAAACATCCTGGTAATAAGAGAATGTCTTAGCTTTTATGTAATGCTTTCCATTGGACAGATGATTTAATACAGATAAACTTACCAAAGTTACACAACTTTCTGTGTATTAAAAACATTTTTCTTCAATGTTTCTCTTTACAGCTTGTAGACTACAGAGTAGAATTCAGTAAGTGGTGGGTGACAGAATTCAAGACCATCAAGTTTCCATCTCAAGCAACAGTCTTTGACTTTTACATTGACCCAGAAACAAAGAAATTTGAGCCTTGGTCCAGGCTCATCCCCAAATTTGAATTTGATCCAGAAATGCCATTACAGGTAAGTCACTTTGTGTGCGAGAGAGGGAGAGAGAGAGAGTTTAACAAAGGTATGCAGGTAAAAATATGTGGTGGACAATGTGTGGCTGCTTTCCATTTTCATTCCCCTTCTCCCATGCATATCCTTCTGCTTCTACCTATTTCTGCCTGTGCTGTGATGACTGGACAGCACTCAATGAGTTGTTCAGATAAGTGAGTGCATTAGAGTAGCCTTCCCCAACCTCGTGGCCTTCAGAGGTACTTGGTCCACAACTCCCAGAATTTCCATCCAGCAGGTCCATTGGTTGGGAATTCTGAATGTTGCAGTCCAAACGTGTCTGGCAGGCAGAAAGTTGGGGAAGTCTGCATTAGAGCATTCCTTCTGCAGGAAGGATGGGTGAATAGCTGCTCAAAGTACTGAAATCACAGGCAGTGTGAATCATAATGTTATACAGGCAGTTACAAACATCCAAGTTATGGACAACCCATACTTATAAATGAACTGCCATAAGGTCTATTAATTTTTTAAATATTACCACAGGAATAGAGGAGGAAGTGAAAGGGTAGCAGTGGGGGCGGGGGGGGGGGGCTCCAAAGCATACCCTGGGGGGGTGGGCTTCAAGCATGCTTTCTTGCCATGCCCATCTGGGGAGGAAAATCCCTCCAGCATTTCATTACAGCAAAGAGGAGGCACTGGTGAGTTTGGGCAGCAGGGTGTCTAGAGATATTTGTGGCTTTTCTACCTTCTTGGGGGTCCTGCACCACTAACCCTTGCAAGTGTGGATATATAAGTGATCTGACTTACATACAAATTTGGGTTAAAGATGAATTTCCTTTTTCTCAAGAATGGAACTCGTTTGTAACCAAGAGACTGCTTGTACAAAGTCTATTTGTGCCCTTCATGTGCCTCTCTAGATAATGTATTTTAAGAGATCTGCACCATAGTGTTTAGCCTAAGGCAGCGGGGTTTATTTAAGAAGAAAGAAAGAGAGGACTTCCCAGAGGACCACCTGTGATCCCAGGCCTTAGATCAATTTGTTTCCTTGGAATAATTATTTCTTTTTGTCTAATAGTGTGCAAAACTGCTTGCCATGACAGGTTCTGATTTTTGTTTAGAATTTAGAAACCACAAGTCAGCTATTTATTATTTATTTATTTATTTAAAGCTTTTATTGACCGACCATCTACTGGCATCTTGGGATGGTTTACAACAAGCAACAGATAAAAATGGCATACCACCCAGTAATTCAATAATATAAAACCACATTAAAATGGATTAAACATTAAAATAATGGGAAAATAAAAAAGCGCTGGAGAACATATTTCACATTTGGGGCACCACCACAGCCCTCCTCCGGGTAGCCACCTTCCTAATCTCTTTCAAGGAGCGCCCCTGAAGAAGGACCACTGCCTCAGATCTCAAGGGGCTCCAGGCGGGGGTGGGGGGGACATATAGGGAAGGAGGCGCTCCTTCAAGTATCCAGGACCCAAGCCATTTAGGGCTTTATAGGTCAACACCGGCACCTTAAATTGGGCCCGGACTTCACTTGGCACCCTGTGTAAGTGGGAAAGGACTGGCATTATATGTGAATACCTGCCAGTCCCCGTTAATATCCTGGCAGCTCTATTCTGAACCAACTGAAGTATCCAGACTGTCTTTAAGGGCAGCCCCATGTAGAGCATGTTACAATAAGCTATACATATAAGCTATAATGATAAAGAAGACAAAACAAGCAGTGGCAAAGCACTGAAGCTCTGATGGACAGTCTTTCAGACATGGCACTGTTTCTCATAGAACACCCATTGAATAGGGCAATCTCTGAAAGAAGGGAAACTCTTGGATGTATCAACTGGGTACACTGACTCCAAGCAGATAAAAATGGCACACCAGGGGAGCACAACCTCCCTTGGTGGTCTTCCTGTTCAAACTGAGAATTCCACCCACAGCACCCACATTATGGAACTGCACCCTGCACTTCAGCGTACAGACTTGCTGTTACTGATCAAGACAGGAGCCAAAATATCTAGTAGACCTTAAAGGATACATATCCATCCCTGTTTTGCCAGTGTAGGAGTAGTGGTGGTGAGGAAAGGATTATATCCACTGGTAGTGTTCTGCTAGCAGGTGGGAAGCGCTGGTGTGGTAGCTTTCCCCTTCTCCTTCATGCTCCCCCAAATCTGTGTGTGCTGGTGGTGTGGGGCTGTGTGGCAGGAAAGGTTAGGAAAGACATGTTTCCTTCTGCTTGTGTGAGGGTTCAGACCAGTCCAGTGTGTACTTTGTGTGTCTGTAGTGTGGTGTGGTGTAGTGTAGTGTTGTGTTATGTTAATCTCAATGCAACCTGATGTAGCACTCTGGTTTTTCATCCTGTTTCTGTGAAGTACCTTCCTACTGTTAATTTTCTTTGCTCATTTCCATTCTTGCCAGCCACATTTTGGCATCCTGCTGCACACTTACCAAACGAAATTCTCATTTTTCTGGGTCAAGATTTTCACTAGGGATACTGGCAATGTAATATTCATTTTTGAATGTTATCTGATCTACCCTGGATTTTTTTATTGCTGTCTAGGGTCATGGTATTATTAAAGGCTCAAAACGGGGTCACACAAACAAAATGATTGAGAATATCGACGTTGAGGACTCTTCTTGCTGAGTGTATTGGGCATCCCTAAACACCCCAAGACACTTGGCAAAGAGAGTGTGGGCATGACCCATATTCCACCCAGCAAGCTGTTCTTTTTCTTTCAGTTGACTGTGGTACAGACATGTTTGTGCTTGTCCCTCAGCCCCTGCCATTGAGCCGAGCCAATGGTAAGCCACGGATTAGTGATACGAGTCAGATGCTGCTGCCACAATTCTGTGAAGCAAAAAAGCATTTGATGAGTTCCACAACCTCTCCCCTTCCTGACTGTGAGCACCATGGAGAGGTTTTACAAACCGACCAGGTCTATCTGAGAAATAGGCATTAATAGGTTTTGTGTAGGCATTAATGATCTACTGTCTAATGTTGCTGTTTGTATTTCTGAACTTCAGCACATACCTTCTCAGCAATCTGATCATGTGTCGGTATATGGCTTGAGTTCAGCGATTTCCATGTTAATAAGACACAGATCTCTTGACATTTTCTATTTGCTTCAGAGCATATATTTTGAAAAATACATTGCGTTGGAAGCAGCTTTAAGTGCATCAGTATTTTTGTGGAAAAGCATCAGTACTGAGAGCTACTTAGGCTATTCACCCTCTCTTCTGTGGGGCCTAAAAAAGAAGGAAAAAACCTTCCATGGGCCTTTTCTTTTCTTTTCTTTTTTCTTTTCTTTTCTTTTCTTTTCTTTTCTTTTCTTAGCACTGAGGAAGGATGGGAAGTTTAAACCTCTTCAACTTGTATGCAATGATCCTGCTCTGCTTTGGGCTTTCACAGGCTTGTTTTGATTTGAAGGAAAAGTACCTTTAATGTAGCATAAAGATCAAGTTCAGCCCTCTGTGTCATTACTATTGTGAGTGATGTCCTTCAGGGCACTCTTTGGCTGATGCCACATAGCAATACCTGTCTGCCAGTCTCAAATTTTGGCTTGCCTCCTTACCTTGCTGCTCCAGGGGGTTCTATGGATCATTATAAGTGCTTCTCACCCTTTCTTAAGGCCTGCTTCGTGCACACCAGTGAAACCATCCGAGTCCGTTACTTCATGGATCAGCTCTTGGAGAGACGCAGACCAGTCATGCTGGTGGGAAATGCCGGGACCGGAAAGTCTGTGATTGTAGGGGACAAGCTGTCTTTGCTGGATTCTGAAGAGTATCTGGTGAAGAACGTTCCCTTTAATTACTATACCACATCTGCCATGCTGCAAGGTAAATCTGCCAGTGAAGTAGCCAGAACCATGGAAATGGACAAGATAATGATTAAAATAGAAATTAATGGTGCTATGAGATGTTCAGAATAAAAAATCCAGCTCAAAGATGGTGAGAAGAGGTTTTTGAAAGCCCAACACAGTTGAATAGCAATACTGGTAAAACTTGATTTTATTCCTATTAACTGTTTCTTTTTTAAACAAAATCAGAAAATGGAACATGAGTATTAGAACTTACAAAATGCTTTATCAAGAAAAAAGATGTAAAGGAGGAAGTAAGTTCCGGAAATGTGTTACCTTCTAGGTTGGGCTGACAAGAACCTCAGTTGTAGTTAGCTAAAGTTGTGAACCTTATAGGAGGAGTTTTGTTCTAAGAAAACATCTTACACTCAGGAAATGTGCCAGAGAATTAGTTGGAGCTTTGGCCATCAAGGGCTTTTACTGTGCAGTTGCTCTTTCTCTTTCATAGAATTTTATGGGAAGTCCAGGTATTACAGTCATCCATTTGTAGCCCTCCTATGGTTTCCCACTATTGCATCTATGTACCTTCTTACCAAACCCCTCCTCCCCCCTCCAAAAAAAACCAAATAAAGGGGGGAAAGTCAGCATATTTTCAGAGTGGCTTTTCCTTGTTAATGCTCAGTAGCCCTCTGTCTGGAAGCACTCTTAAGGTATTTTAATGGGCAATGGTATAATAACAGAGTGTATAAATTCATGGAATGTTAATAGTCTTTGATAATCCTAACATGGTCAGGAAAAAGCAAAGTCTTAGCAGTGATGTTGAGAAGGGAAAGGATTGTTCTGTCAGTTCCTCTTCTGTTTTGCCTGATACTTGGATGCTGTCTTCAACAGTAGCCGAAGTAAATGGGCCAGTGATGTGTCTCTTAAACTGTGTTCTTGAGGCATTTAAAGGATTCCCCATGGATAGCCTTCCAAATGTTTTAGTGTCCAGCCGCACTTCATGTCAGCTTGGTCTATATCACTGCAATTTTGCCCCAAAATAAGAGGCAGTTTTCCCATTGTGTCATCATATACTTCGGTGCTGATGTGATTAAAATGAGCTTAAAGGTTTTCTGCATCGGCAGCTTTGCACAAATGGCTTCCCATACGGAAAGGCCTTCATGTGGTTTACCTTTTCGATGTAACTAACACTGCAGTGTTTGAACTGGGGCCCCAAATATGGAGCATTTTTTTTCTTTTGGCTTTTTGCAGCACATCTGCTTGGCTTTAATTGAACATGCTAGTTAAATGTTTGAGCATGAAGGCCAGCATAAACACAAACAGGCATGCCAGTGATTCATATTTGTTGCCGCATCAGAATAAATTGTTCTAGCTCAGAACGTTTGGGAATGGAGAATGCTGCAGGCTAATTGTCATTTCTGATAGCTGCCTCCATCCTTTAATAAGCCCATCTAGAAACCTGGTCACAGTTTAATAAATGCCATAAATAAACAAGGAAACTTGCATGCATATGTGAAATGACTTGAGGAGTCTATTCATAAATTTTTCACTCTTCCTGTGTCCACATTACTGCAGTCTGTTGTGTACACTGAGCTGTTCATGCTGGTCTGCCTGTCCTAGTGAGTAAGTATGTTCAGGACTGTTGGAGTTTACTATATTGTAGAAGTGGGGTGGAGGCAGGTCCTGGCCCTCCTGGAGTCTCGACCTGACTCTCTGAGTTTCCCCAGACGATGGCTCCCCCTTCCCTTGTCCCTATCCTGCCTTTTCCTCAACTATCAATTGTTGGTGGTTTTTTGACTTTTGTGCAACTTTGCCCCCTTCTGTCTCTCCCATAGGGCATGGTGACTTGTACTAAAAGCTGTAAGCTACAATAGGCCAGTTTTGATTGTATGTTTGGTCTTACACATTTGGCCCCACTTACCAATGCAGCCTCCAAGAGCGTCTCCAAAACAGAATATGGCCCTTGGTCTGAAAGAGGTTCTGCACTCATGCTGTATAAGTGTGGGCACAGGACTTGTTAAGACTGTACTTCCCTTTTGGAATTTGGAGTCTTGTTGTGCTCTAGATGGCTGGGTCAGAGAACACCTGCCTGTGTTTAGATAACTGTGGCTTCTCTAGTTGAGGTATTGCATTCTGTCCATTACATTTTTCACTTAAACCTGAGACCTGATCACATGTATGCACGCATGCACACATATTCTGGCATGTGTCATCTGAACAGGCCCCATAGTGCTGCAATATTTGAATATTGCTGTGATGGTGATT